CCCCCCTCCAGGACATTTTTCATCCAAAAAACAATGCTCATCGAGCATCTTACTCTGTGCGTTTCTCTTAATATGTAAATAAGGTTTAATACAACTCCCTTGCACAGTTACCGCACGTCCTCCCCCCGCCCCTTGTATTTGGATAATCAGAGCAAAACCGAGCCTCCTGGAAGCCGAGTCTTGACCCCGTGCCCTCGTTCTCTCCCGCGCTCGTCCGAAGTCGAGGCCTCCTCAGTTCGCGAAGTCCCGCAATCGGGGATCGGAACAGGCCTTTATGTTTTGCAACTATGCGGAAGTGAGGGATCCCAGTTGTTGCTCGGGCGCTACTCTCCCGGCCATTTTTGTCATCTCGGGCCTCCCTCCTTTCGCCTCAACTGCAAAACGAGGCAATTAGAAGTTTGCTGAGCTAAGTAAGGGCAGTGTGCCTGGGCCGGTCCTAGCGGTCCTCGGGGCCCAGCGGGGCTGGGTGCGGGTACCCCTACGCCGGTTGGGGGAACGCAGCCGCGGGCGTCCGTCTGGGGCGCAGACGGAAACAGGTGGGTTCGGCGGACGCCCCAGCCGCGGGGTCCCGGGGCCTTGCTCCTCCCCGGACAGGGCGGGACGGGGAAGTCCCGCCCAGAAGGCCCGGGCCCTGGAGCTGGGCGGCCCCTGGAGCTGCGCCCGCCTCCTTCCTGCCGCGGCGACCCCGGGCTCAGAGAGCGGGTCTGAGCCCAGAGGGGGAGAGGCTGGCGGGTCATGCCCTGGTTGCCCCGCGCCGCGCTCCTTTGGGACCTGGTCCTGGGCTTTTTGGGCACCGCCGCCTTCCTGGTCGACCTGGGCGCCGACCTCTGGGCCGCCGTCCAGTATGTGCTCAGCGGCCGCTACCTGTGGGCCGCGCTGGTGCTGGCGCTGCTGGGCCTCGCGTCTGTGGCGCTGCAGCTCTTCAGCTGGGTCTGGTTGCGCGCCGACCCCGTCGGCTTGCACGCGTCCCAGCCCCCAGGCCGCTGCCTGGCTCTGCTGCATCTCTTGCAGCTGGGCTACCTGTACAGGTGAGCGCCCCGCCCTCGGGGGGAGGGAAGAGGGACGGAGCCCAGCGGCACCTGCAGCTGGGCTAGTAGCACAGGGGAGAGCACGGACACCGGGGAGGGGCTGGGAAGGAGAGGATGGGAAGCCAAGCCCTTGTGGGCACCTCTGCCTACAGGTGAGCTCCCCGCCCCTAAAGAAAGAGAACACCCGCTGACAGCCGTCAGAGCCCAGCTCGTCCTACCCTCTGGCGCGGGGGAAGAAACTGAAGCCCAGAGAAGAAAAGGAGGCACATGATTTGGAGCCCGACCTCTCTGGGATCCAGTCCTAGCTAATCTACCATCTGTGGCGTCATTCCTGCCGTTCTCTGAGCCTCGGTTTCCTCCTGTGTTAAAAGGCGGCAGTAATCGAGAGACATCTCTGGCAGGGGCGGGGGCGGGGGGGCTATTGTGAGGAGCGAAGGCAAGAGTGGGAACGTGACTAGCATGGTGCCGGGGGTCTTGGCAGAGTCTAGGGTAATGGCAGACCCAGGTGTTCCTTTTGGCTGCGGATGGGGCCTTGGGCGAGTCACTTGAGCCCTCTGGGTCCCAGTTTACGCTTTGTTCCAGTGGGGATGGTTATAGTGCCTGCCTCAGTTTGGGAGGGATTAAACGAACTAAGACCTGTAAGTTGCTTTGATGCAGGGTAAGCATTCGACAAATGTCAGCCAGCTTGATTACTTGGGTCCCTGGGGAGCTTCAGCAGCCGGGACCCCCCAGAGCAGAGCCCCGTTCTCTCAGCCCTTCTTTCCCACTTTTGTTCTCCCTGCCCCACCCCCACACCCCCAGCGCCGGCAAGAGGGCAGAGATGGGGTCTGACTCATCCATGCCCCTTGAGCCAGCCAGGGCCGGGCACAGGCTGGGGCCCAGCAAATCTGTGTGGACTGTACTCCTTTTCAGCACTGGCAGGGCCCCCTCGAGTTGAGGAAACTGAAACCAAGGGATCAGAGCCGTGTGATGAAGTCAGGACGTGATGTGATCTGGGTAGGGATGGGGTGGCTGGAGGCGGGATCTGCTCTCGAATCCATTTCACAGATGCTCTCCACATCTTGCTTTGACGAAGCTGCGTTGAGTCTCCGGGGGTGGACAAGAGGAGCTTGGAATCTTGGAGTTTTGCCTGAGGGACTGCACAGGCATCAGTTACGTGCCAGCCGGGCATGAAGGGGTGCAGCTACCCCGTCCCAGTGGGCCTCAATGAGCCCTGAATCCATAACTGTATCATGTGTCTTCCCTTCTGTTTCTGCTGAGCACGAGGCAGACGGACTATACTGAACTTTGGTTTTGAAAATGGGGTCTCTACCTGTCTGTGACTAGACTGAGGCGGGGCCCTTGGGGACCAGAGGCAGAGGCTCCTGCTGAGGGAGAGCCCCAACCTGGGCCTGCCCCCGCCCCCCTGCTCCCTTAGTGTATTGTCAAGTCTGTCCAGGAAAAGTGACAGTAAATGTCTGATGAATGAATTCACAGTGAGTGAATGGGCTCACCTCCCAGTGGACAACCGAGGTCAGTTCTGGGTGGGGGAGATCTTGGGGCACCTTCCACTACTTCCCTCATGCCAATGGGTCGGTCACCCATGCCTATCTCTCCAGCCTCTGGGCTCGCTTTTAACTCTGCCTTGGACTCCATGCCCATCACTCTGGGCAGTCCTCTTAAATGGATCTGTGCTTCCATTCTAACCCCTCCATCCCTTCCACATCTCCACAGCCAGGGTGATCTTTCCATAGCACAGTCTGACCTATCTTGCCCGGGCTCAGAAGCTCTCAGTGGCCCCCCCTTCCCCACAGGATCCTAAGAAATTCTTATGCTTGCTAACATCTGAGAACTATCACCTGAGGCAATTTCATAGTATGCCTTTGAAATTCAGACAGCTTTGGGTTCAAATCCTGTTTCCACCACTTATTAGCGCTTTCGTCCTGTTTCCCTATCTGTCAAATGGGGATGTTGTAAGGAGTACATGGGACAAGGTTTGTGATGACCTTGGGACGTGCTGGCCAGCTGGAGCGGCGGTAGTTGTATTGATCCCCACTTTACGATGGGAAACAAGTTCAGTGAGGTTAAGTCACTGGTGCCCAAGGCCCCACGGCATGTAAGTGACAGACTAGGATCGGAGCCCGTCCGCATCTACCCAGCGGGGGAGGGAAGGTGGAACATCGCAGGACACTAACCTGGCCCCTTGGGGCATCCGTATGTGCTGCCTAGGTGCGTGCAGGGGCTGCAGCAGGGGCTGCTGGTGTGGCAGCAGGAGGCGCCCTCTGACTTTGACCTGGCTTATGCCGACTTCCTGACTCTGGACATCAGCATGCTGCGGCTCTTTGAGACCTTCTTGGAGACGACTCCACAGCTCACGCTGGTGCTGGCCATTGTGTTGCAGAGCGGCCGGGCCGAGTCCTACCAGTGTGAGTGATGGGGCCAGTGGCCAGCCCCCCTTTTCATGGCTTGGGAAAGCTTCCGACAAATGTCAGGAGTGTTTTCACTCTTTTATAAAAGCTGCTTAGAAAACAGGAGAATACCCTTTAGCCCGGCAGGTCTGCGTTCAACCCTTTAGCCTTCTGAGTCAGGATGAATGACAGTAACAGCGGCCATGACGATCGAGGGCCAGCTATCAGCCGGGCCCCCTGTAAAGTGCTGTATGGTCGGCATTACTCCCACGCACAGCAGCCCTACAGGTTGTGCTACGTTTCTCTCCATTTTACCTGAGAGGGAAGAGGTGCAGAAAGGTGAAGTAATCTGCCCGGGGCACATAGCATCCACTGGGCACGTATTTTTGTCCGTTTGAGGGATGTGGGTGTCTAGGATCAGGGCTACATGGAGCCAGTCTACACTGTATGTGCATGGGAGGCAGGGAGTGAGGGAAGAGACAGCTTTTCCTAACTTTATTTAGTGAACATTTATGTAGCTGCTATTATGTGCCAGGTACTGGGCTCCAGGGGTCCCAGCGGAGCAGAATGTTTCGTCCCCTCAAGGAGCTCGGAGACAAGGAGATTGATAATTACCGTGTGCTAAGACTCCAGACAGAAGTGGCTGAGATGTTACAGGTCACCGGTAACCTGTAAGAGCGGGGTGGGGTGGAGTAGGGTCAGGATAAGTGTCCTCAGGGGCCATTCAGGCTGGAACTCGCAGGGCACGTGCTCCTGGTCTACCTAACATTGTGGGCTAAGCTTGTCCAGGTCAGAGAATGCGGTGTGCTGGGCAAACTGGAAGGATATCAGCCAGGTAGTTTGAAAGGGACGTGGGCCACAGATCTGCTTCCAGGGTGTGGGTGGGCTTCCTAGTCCATAACAGGTTCCCAGTAAACACCTGTTGACTGACCACCGTGGGAAAGGGCAGGGGAGGAAGCATTCTAGAGACATTCCAGCGCTGCCTCTATCCCTCCCTGGAGGTCCAGTGCTTCTAGTCCAGGGTGGGCGACCAGGAGGTGGGATAGAATCTCCACCGTAACCTTGGAGTGTCGAGAAATCAAGCAAGACGAAGGCCCAGCCTGAGCTGAGACATCCTATCTGTGTGGCAGAGACCTCCCTCCTGGCCCGGAGTGCGGCTTCACCCAGGAAACCCTGGGATTTCCTGCTTCCATTTCTGGGACCACAGAAGGGGAACTGGGATTGCTGATTTTCAGTCCCAAGAAAGCCTTGGGTTCTTCCGGGAAAGGAAGGGGTTACAGGGCCCCAGAAGATGCTCAGGGTGTGGCCAGGGCCCGGGGTCCTGGATGCTGGGTGACAGGGTGCAGATGAGGGTAAGTCACACCCCCTTCATCCGTGAAGAATATCACCATGGTAGTACCTGAAAAGTAAAGCTTTGTGGTGCAGGGCAGACTCCATATTTGAACCCCAGCTCGGTGTTTGGTTGCCTGAACGGATGTTTTCCAGGTGTAGTTTCCCTTCAGCTATCAGGGGCTGCCACACCCACCTCTGGGGGGCTGTGACCGCTAGGGAGCGCCAGGCAGGCTGCCCACAGGGCTCACCTGTTTCCCCTTGCTCTCTGTAGGGGTCGGCATCTGCACATCCTTCGTGGGTATCTCGTGGGCTCTGCTTGACTACCACCGGGCCTTGCGCACCTGCCTCCCCTCCAAGCCGCCCCTGGGGCCAGGCTCCTCTGTGGTCTACTTCCTGTGGAACCTGCTGCTGCTGTGGCCCCGAGTCTTCGTCGTGGCCCTCTTCTCAGCTCTCTTCCCCCACTATGTGGCTCTGCACTTCTTGGGCCTGTGGCTGGTGCTGCTCTTCTGGGTCTGGCTTCAGGGCACGGACTTCATGCCAGATTCCTGCTCCGAGTGGCTGTACCGGGCAACCGTGGCCACCATTCTTTATTTCTCCTGGTTCAACGTGGCCGAGGGCCGTACCCGAGGCCGCGCCGCCATCCACCTGGTGTTCCTCCTGAGTGACAGTGTTCTCATGGCGGTCACTTGGCTGACTCACATCGCCTGGCTGCCCAGTGGGATCCCACTGCAGACGTTGCTGCCTGTGGGCGGCGTCTGCATCCTCCTGGGCCTGGCTCTGCGGCTTGTCTACTACCGCTGGCTGCATCCTAGCTGCCGCTGGGAGCCTGACCGCGTGGATGGGACCCGAGGCCTCGGCTCCCTCGAGTGGCGTCGGCTGCCTCAGAACAGGCGCATGGCCCAGTTGGCTCAGAACTTTTTCCCCAGGGTTAGGGATGAGGCTGCTTTGCCACAGAAGGGAG